CTCAGCAGGCTCCAAACGACCCTGTCTGTGGCGACGGCAGCGAGTGGGGCTCGCCGGAGGTGGGCGCGTGGGCTACACTCGCCGACGACGGTGGCCGACGACTTGGCTGCTCCCTCACGGCGGACGTGACTGATGTCTCCTGCTGTGTGAAATCGCCGAGTGTATATTTTTAGCACCGTCATGCACCTTTTGCCCTATCAACAACCCCAAACCGGTGACGGCAGTGGTCGTACAACGGCGGTGTTGTGCATGACGGGTTGCCTGCAGCAAAATGGAGCCCCAAGCTCAGGAGTCTGACAAACCAAGTTGAAAATACGACGTATTTGTATTATTTCTCAATCATGAAAAATACATCTCAAATATATACCCCCTCTATTTGTAATAATCTAATTCTCCTAAAAGGAGAAATAGGGAAACTACGAAAACTAGGAAAATAAAATAAAATAAAAGATTATGTATCTATTTCCTCTAATTAGGAAGATTCTAAAGATATTATCTCAAATTACAATAGAAAGTCTATCAGGTGAAAAGTCCTCTTTGCAAGTGGGCAATAGGGTTTTTTGCCTCGGTTGTTCTTAGAACCGAGGTAGTAGCCCTATTTCAAAAAGTCTAGGAGGTGAAAAGTCCTTTTGCAAGTGTGCAGTAGGGTTTTATGCCTTGGTTGTTCTCAGAACCGAGGTAGTATCCCCTTTAGATATCGGTTCTTGTAGAACTGAGACATATACTTTCGCTAAAACTATGAAAATGTCACCGCGCTTTTATACCTTAAATATTTCGATAAAATCGAGACGTATATAGCACGTTAAAAATCTTTTCTTTACTAGGGTATTAAATTATGATATATCATATATAGGCCATTATGTGACTTAGCCTAACTTAGAATGGGCTTCACTAGACCCCTCTCGACCAACCTAAGATGGTGTTGGTATAGCCTAACTTAAGTCAAACTTACTCACATTTAATTTGGATTTGGAATGAATAAATATTTTTCATGTGTATAAATATTTTTGTGTAATATTTTTCATTTTTAATTTAAAATATTTTTAATTTTAAAAAGTGTTTCATATGAATCACGTGAGTGGGGCCAAATTCACATGTCCAATTTTTGTAATTGTACCATTGTTGATTTACACACTCTCATCCAAATCCTTCAATAATTGCATATCCCTACATTACTGCAATTGCATACTCTCGTCCAAATTCTTTCAATTATTGCAAATCCCTCCAATATTGCAATTGCATGATTGTTGATTCTTATACACTCTCATAAGTAATTAAACTTCAATTCACATTTCAAAATTGCTTTATATGCATGACCTAATTGACACAATTACAATCTATTCACATATTTGTGATAGGTAGATGACGTGAATCTAATTAGCATAATTGAAACTTGAGTAACTGAAACTATAGTTACAATAACTGAGAACTAAAATTGAAATTAAACTATGTATAAATAAAACAAGAATATCGATCTACACTCAAGAGGAAGTAGTAATTTCTTCCATAGAGTCAGTATTTAACTCTTCATAAGATACTTCCTTATAAGAGTAATCTCTTTCCAAATAGAAAGCAGGTCTTTGAGGCAAGGTAACTATTGAACTTTCTTTTGTTAACATTGATATAACATCAGACATTGTTGGTCGGTCTTTTGCATATTGTGACACGCATAAGAGACCCACATGAATGCATCTTTTCATTTCTTCAAGATCAAAGGACTCACTCAATGATGGATCTACTAATTGGTGAACTGCACTTTCTTTCCATAACTCCCATGCCTATCAACATTTTAGACAAATTAGACAAAGGAAAATAATATTAAGAAAAAGAACACTTTTTATAGAAATTTCACGTACATGTCCTATTAGATTAAGAGGTTGATCAACATCATATAAGCTAGTATTTCTTCTTCCACTAACGATTTCAAGTAGCAACACTCCAAAGCTGTAGACGTCAGATTTTGTAGAAAAAATTCCTTCCATGGCATATTCAGGAGACATGTAACCACTACAAGAAAAAGTAATTCACAGTTGAAAATACAAACTTTATTAACATATTATTTTGTTGGAAAGAAATAATTTTGAAAGCTTACTAGGTTCCAACAATCCTACTAGTATTTGTTATGGACTCTTCCTGTGTAAACATTCTTGCCAATCCAAAATCAGAAATTTTTGGATTCATATTTTCATCAAGAAGTATATTACTGGCTTTCAAGTCTCTATGAATTATTTTTAGTCTCGAGTACTTATGAAGATAGAGTAATCCTTGAGAGATTCCTCCTATTATATTGAAGCGCTTCGTCCAATCCAAAATCTTGCCTCTGTCACAATCTTCTCAAGGAAAGGAAACATAATATTCTGAGAATATATACTACATTAAAGGTAACAAAGCAAAAGGACTTTCCTAAATTACACAAGCATGAAGCATATTGCAAAATTAAGTTGAGAAATAATTCTCACCAAATAGATAGTAGTCCAAGCTTTTGTTTGACATGAACTCATAAATTAAAATCCTTTCCTCTTCGTGAATACAATATCCAAGTAGTTGTACAAGATTGGTGTGCTGAAGTTCACATATAAGCACCAGTTCATTTTCAAATTCCACAATTCCTTGTCTTGATGATTTTGAAAGTCTTTTTATGGCTACTTCTTGCCCAGAAGGAAGGATTCCCTAATGGCAACAAAAGGATTATTAGACCTTTATTAGAGAAAGTTCTTAGTAAATTAAAACTTGGCTTCATATCACCTTATAAACAGGTCCAAATCCTCCTTCACCTAATTTGTTTTCAGGATTAAAATCTTCTGTTGCCCACAATACCATTGTAAATGGAAACACTTTTAGATTTTGTCTGATCTTTAATTCATCGTCAAAGTCTTTGACATCATAGAATCTATTTGATGCTGCTAAATCTGCCATATTCTTAGTCTCCACCCCTTTTCTTTTTTTCCCTGTTTAGTTTGAAATATGAATGATTAAGATTGGGATCAAATCAAGGGATTGAGTTCAATAAAGCATCTTGAACCATGTTTATTTCACATGTATAACCAACCTTCAAGACGACGTTTTCTTTTCTTTATGGCAAGAGTAATTGCAGAGATTACTAACAGAGCAGCTACTACTGATACAACAGTTATCCATATCCACATTTTTTTACCTGCATATGAACCATTCGGCATCCACAAACACAAGGGAATAAAGCTAAATATCAGTAACTTTTGTGCTACTTTGAAAGTTATAAACTAAATTAAAAAGGAAGTACTAGGAAGTTTTGAAATTCTGTAAGATAAACATACCTTTGTGATGGGGTTTGTTTACAAGTACGAAGAATTTAGAGCCCCCACTTGCAAAATTAGTACCCGTGGTGAAGTTCTTGTGATAGAATACACAACCAGTTCCACCATCATCATAATAGTTTTTGAATCCAGCACAATTGCAGTTTCTCCAGCACATATCCTGACAATCACTTAGCCCATAACTCGAATTTTCTAGATTGTTTGCCATGTCTGCATTGGGGTACCCTTCCCTGCTGTCAAATGCATCACCAGGATGCCTGCATAAGGGTATATCCTCCCATCGTTGGCACCCTTTATCTGTGTTGTAGCCATAGCACAGATCAGCCCTCGCAACATTATTATCCGCTCCATTCCGATTTATCAGCTGCCCAGTTTCTAAAAGCACCCATCTTGTAAGCTCTCCATTGAAAGTTGTGATTGAGAAGTAGCTTTCGTTTTCGTTTGAGACAATCTCGTAAGATGTGCCTTGCATGAGTCTACCGTTTCCCAGATTTCCACTTGCCCAACACAGTTTTCCTCTTCGCTTGATGATCAATTCCGTTTTAGTGGGTTCCCATTCAAGTTCAAATGCCCCAAGACTTGGTTCCAAATTAGTCAACCACGAAACTAGTGACCATTTATGGCCACTCCTGTGATGGACGCCTAACTTCATCCCAGGGAGCAAATTATCAGTAGGGTAATCAAAACTTTGCCACAGCGTTGTGTTTGTTCCATTGGGGTGAAGTTGTTGCAGTACAAAGTTGCCCGTGTCCAACAAGGTGGCCACAGTGTTTTCGGAAGGTTGTGGTGAAGAGTAAAGGATGATGGGTTCAATATCTTTGGATTCTATTTTCAGTACACCAGAGTGGTTTAGCAGCAGAACTGCAGAACCCGTGTCAACAGGTTGATTTCTATTACCAATCCACACTGTCCAATTCTCATTTTTGGGGCCATAGATCTGCAAGTAACTTGTTACAATCTTAATAAAATAATAACCTTTTTCAGAACGTAACAGGGTGGTGCTGTTCAGTTTTTCTCCAGGTTTCAGACTGTGCTTTTCAGAGCTAACGTGGATACAAGTTGTCCACCAGCAGAAACTCAAAGCAAGCAGAAAATGTTGAGGTTTACAACTGACCATCTTCGAGTTTGAAAGTTCACACTGCAAGGTTTACTATCCCTGGATCTGGGAAGGGACCATCGTTTATCATTTAGGAGTAACGAGTGGTGCTCGTTAACTGCTTTCAATTTCAAGTGCATTCCGTAAATTTTGCACTTTGTTTTATGGTACATCTAGAATATATAAGAGTATGGCGAAATACACCTATACACTACTAAAATTTTGTATTGAACTAAAAATTAATTTGTCTAAAGTGAATTATAAAATAATTCAAACAAACTGAAATAAACTGTTTTTTGTTTTATTAAATTGGACTGAACTGAACTATATTAAATTGTACTAAACTACAGTGTAACATCCCAATATATAGTAATTACCATAAATTAGAACTAATCACATTTACAGAATTAACAGTGCAGTCTTAAGCAATACAGCTATTAAAAACCGAACAGTAAACGGATACAGAGTTCAGAAAATTCTACAATATACTAATGTTCAGGACGAACGGTTTTACAAAGCCAAATAACCGAACGTCCCAAAAAGCTACACATATATACTAAAAACTACAACTTCTCGAGCGCTCTATGGCTCGGCCTTAACCTCTACTTCGACTAGGCTGTCGTTCTCCAAATTTTCTTCTTCCAGCGTTTCTTCAAGCAGCGCCTCTCCGCCTGCTCACATCCACACGGATGATCATTGCATTGACAAGACGGACGTACATAACCAGTAGACAACACAAGGAATTGCAAGGGTAAGCTTAGGTAATTTAATTCATACAACCAATATAAAATTTAACATATGCAATTAACATACAAGACATATAACAATATATCAAAGCATATAATAAATCATCCAAACTCTCACAAGACCGACCGTCCGGACTGTATGAATCCATGTATCTACAGGCGTTCGTGCAC